ATGTTAGCCAACATCATTTCTCACTCTGGTTTATGATGTCAGGTATTAAATTCCTCCATAAACGTGCGTGTTGGGCAAGGGGGGGATAGATCCTCTTGGAGGGAGATTAAAAAGACACTACCATGTAAAATCCACCTTTCTAATAATACAAGAATGACCAGAAGCAGTAAGGGATTTGGTACAGTAGCTCACTATACAGGCAACACCCTGCAGAGGATTAACTTTCTTCCCATTAAGGGGCTCCACCATAGAGTCAGGGGGTCATTTGTATTTGCAAGAGAAAACCCAACTTAAGTAAAGTGTGCTATTCAGCTGTTCAGTACTTGCATACCTATAAAGCCTCTGAAACCACTCTTCAGTGACTCAATACATTTCTCATTTTCCCATCACTTTCCCTTCAACTTGGCCATTTTCCTAAAACCATAATTCAAACTTTCCAAAAGAAAAAATAATCTCTGGGTAATCCTTTCAAGACTTCATAGAAGGAAATCTTTACTCTTTTATCACCCTTCTGGGAAACCAAGCTCATGATAACTATTAGGATTTGAAATGTCTTCACTTTACCTCGATGGAATGAGGAAATAAGAAAGCAAAAAAGCCTTAAGTGTAAGAAACGTGTGCTCTAAACCCAAGGACACTCGTGAGAAGAATTGCCCAGAGTAGTTCATTTAAAACCAAAATAAGAGGAAAGTGTGTTTAAATTATAAAAAGACTAGGTAGGCAGATCTTTGTATTACTTCTAGTAAAGAATAATGTTTTGCTATTAGTGCACAAAAGGAAAACTGAAGGGCAAAAGATTTAAGAAAAAAAATGGAAAGATGTCTAAACAAAGAGAGATTGGTTGTCTTCTGCCACTATCCAAAATAGAGATTTCTTTTTTTTCTAAAGATTTATTTATTTATGCAACAGAAGTGGGGTACAAGACAGAGTGCAGTGAGAGGATTCACCAGACACAGAGTAGGGAGCAGAACAGGAAGATCAACAAAGTACACTGCTGAGGGGAGCAGCGAGCAGGTCAGGAGAGGTCTGCCACGCCATGTGGGTCACCTCAGGGGCCGGGAATCTTAACTTAACTCTGAAGAGGCCGTGGCCAGCTTGCAGTGCGTGTGCTAACCCATTGCGCCATCAGGGAGGGCCCCAAAAGTAGAGATTTCTATAAAGACTTTTATAAATTCTGGGCCTCTTTAGTGGCACAGTGGTAAAATATAGCACTATGGAGCTAAAGCCAGCCACTGCAGAAAGAGTAGCAGGGAGCTGACCCACATAGTGTAGCAGATCCCTCTGTCTCCCCTCAGCAGTGTATTTCAGTAGATCTGCCTGTTCTGCTTCCCACATTGTCTCTGGTGAATCCTCTCACCTCCCCCACACCTCTTGCTTACAGCCCAGTTCTTGTATGCATTAATAAATTAATCTGTCTTTAAGAAAAAAAAAATCTTTCATAAACTAAAAGTGGAAATAACAATTAGCACTAATTTGTATGGAACATCTTTTGAAAGTTTACAGGTCTGCCCAAAATATAACTACTAAATATTTCCAGATAACAGAAGAAGCCTAAAATCACACTAACAGATAGCAACAGCAAAAATGCAGTGATAAATCACAACACTGAATGCTCTTTTCCCTTTTGTGGTTAAAACAAAGTCTGGCCCTCCCTGGTGGCGCAGCGGGTTAAAGCACAACACTAAGAAGCTAAAGCCACTTCCGCATGAGTTCCATCCCCCCCTGTCCCGGAGATGACCACATGGCGTGGCAGACCTCTCCTGACCCGCCCGCTGCTGCCCTCAGCAGTGCCCTTCATCCATCTGCCTGTTCTGCTCCCCACTCTGTCTCTGGTGAAGACTCTTGCCGCCACTGAGCTTCTGGCCTGTACCCCAGTTCTGTATGCACAAATAAATCTTTAAAAAAACACACACACACACACACACACAAAGTCCTCTGCAGATATCTTTCCGTTATTAAAAAATGGTCTTTTGTGAAAGTAAAGTGATGCAACAGGAACTTTTGAAAAACAAGGAATACCTGTAGTTTTAATATCCACTTGACATTTATGTGCTAATGTGCATTGATGGGAGAGTGACTTCCAAGGAAGGCCTTTCCTTGGCTGGCCCCCACATCTGCAGTGTGAGCAGGGAGCAGATCCGGGCTCCAAAGCAGAAGGGGGTGCACTATGACCCAGACAGAGTCCCCCTGTCAGTTGGAGCATGTATTCTAGAACAGGGACCCCAAAGGATAGAATACTCAACTTTCTGACTCCCAGGTCACTTTTATGAATTAGATTCCTGAGACACACACAATTCCAAATCCCCCCACCCCAGCACTTAGAGTATATAGTTTGGAGAGCTAAGCAAGCATAGGTCTCTGCCATTGCCTGGGCAGCTTGACATTCCCAGAGATGCAGTGCGAGCAGCACTGGCAGCAGCAGTAGCAGAGCAATGTGCAACTGGCTGGGGGATCAAAATTTGCAAACTCAGTATCCTGGGCCTCAGGCCAATGCAGGCTGGGTGCGTTGCTGTGGTGACACATTTAGTCTCCAGGGAGGGATGCTGGCACACCAGCTGCATTCCTGGCACCACGTTTGCCAGCAAAAAACTTATGGAGTGGAACTGGTATCAACTCCAGAGGGAGATGCAAGCTGCTTTCTTAACTTCTTTGGCAACACTACCCTCTGCAATTTGTGTGCATACACCCTCCTGAATATTTACATGAACTGCTACTTGTGATGCTCTTTGGGGCCCTGTTGGATGGTACTTTCAAGGGAAGTGCTAAAATGATAGCAGCTTTCCAGTTTATAAATGTAACTATTGTACCCCTGATTCATTCAATTTCCTAAAATTGGCACTTAACAATGCAATGACTTATCTCTTGCTGGGAAAGATTCTAATCCCTCTTTCCCTTTTAAAAATAACTTACTGTTGCCAAGAGAGCCTACTATTTACTATTAAAAGATACGTGAATCGAAATACTAGCGTCTTTCCCTGTTGCATCCACTAGCACTACAATAGCTGCATTCTCTCTCTTTCATACCTGAGAGAGATCCCCTCACAGAAATGCCCTTAGTTCTTCAGAAAGCCTGACCCACCTCTCCTATTTGTGGCTGGAAGGCAAAATGCACTGGATTCAGCCACTTAGTATTCACACAGTGTGGAGATTCAAGTAAAAAGCCTATATTGCAAAGCTGGAAACAGTCGTCAGACCAAACACAGTCAACAGTTCAAATCACAGTTAAATTATAAGCAAGTATTGGGCGAAGCATGCAGACCTGTTAAGTCAATGAAGCAGCAGAGACAAAAAGAAATACTATGTAAATGGCAACTTGGAGGCTTTAATAAATACAGAAATGGGGGTTCTTCCCAGCTGCCCCCTGTTGACTGTAAACGCCAGTGAGGATTTTAAATGAAATGCTTCTTCATCGTCCTCCTCATCACTGACTTTTACTGCTCCTCCTCTGTCGTCTTTTTAACATGCATAGCATCTCCCAGTATATTGAGAAACAAACAATTCCTTTGTGTATTGCCATGGTTTTGCAAAGGGACAGCTTTGCTGGCAGGTCAGAGATTACTACTGGAGACATCAGATGCAGCAGAGGAAATGCAGTTAATACAATAATTCACATATGTTAATGCTTAGTTCCATCAATGTCAGCTTTATTTTCTTCTAGATATACACAAAGCTGGCACACAATTTTAACTGATGAGGTAATGTCATTTTTAATTTAGAGAGCCTTAAGATGTCCACTTTAACTCGTGATATCATCTTTGCATTTATCTCCTGAGACTTTCAGTAAACATAAGTAATGTGTCCTGGACAGTTTGAAAAGAGACTGTTAAAGATGATATTGGTCATCATGATGATCTCCCCCACTTTGATCTCTTTTAAATTGCCAGATACAATTTATGTTACTGCCATATTTTAGCCATTCCTGAAATTAATATATCCCAGGGCTTCTGAACCAAGTAAAACACAGAAATAAAATAAAGGCTTGAAATGAACCGATTATAATGTTTTCATGTCAGTTTTAGAAGAAAAATGGAAAACATATCAGATCATCTAACTCCTAGGTGACTTGATAAATAAAAAGAAAGAGCAAGATACTCAGAAATTCATAAACACAAAAATCTCTTTTCCTGGAAGATGTTAATTTATTAGAGATGGTTTTTCATCCTTTAAAGATAAGCATGTCTGTTACCTCAGTGCAATCTTCAGTGTAATATTTTATTTTCACTTCCTTCATATATTATTTTAAGTCTAAATGTTTTAAATCACATCACTTTGGTGATTTCAAGTGTGTCACATTTCCTTTTCAAAGATTTATTCCCTTAAAGATTTGGGCTGGCGGTATAAACAAAATTATTTTCCATTTTTAAATAAACTTTTCTGTGTAGAGATTTTCTTATGCAATTCAAGTGTAGTGCTGGTGGGAGATGATCTGTGTTGTAGCTGCTGTTGTTAGTTGAAGTTTTTTCTAAGAAGTGTAGACTTTGGTAGCATTGCATTAAATAGTAAAGAATCTGTTTATTATTCTGTGGCCATATGTTTAGAGGGTTGCTCACAGAAATCAAAGTATTGTTCATGGAGCATTCTAGCCAAAGAGACATTTTGAATTCATAAAGGAACTTCACAGTTTGAAAAGAATGCACAGCATTATGTATTGACACCCCACCACCATAGACAAAGGAACACAATTTAATAATAGAGAATTGTGCTCATGAGATTTTTCTTTTTCTTGCTAATTGGTTACTTTAACTGACATTGTCTGCAAGTATAATGGACACCATTATTCTTAATAGTTTTGTGTTGCCAGATGATGTATACAGACATGATGTAGTCCATTTTAATTATTTCACTTTACCAGCTTTTTTTTTTTTACCCTTCATGTAGTACAGTGGTGAATGCAGATAGCATGTTTTTCCCTGACAGACTGTCCTCAATAATGCTTGTGCCAAAGTTTTGAAATTATAAAGGCTTTCTTACTAACATTTTCCTTCCATCTTTACTCCTAGATATGACTACGTGGAAGTCATCGATGGAGAGAATGATAAAGGACATGTGTGGGGAAAGTTCTGTGGAAAGATTGCTCCTTCTCCTGTAGTGTCTTCTGGGCCATTTCTTTTTATCAGATTTGTCTCTGACTATGAGACACATGGTGCAGGATTTTCCATACGTTATGAAATTTTCAAGAGAGGTAAGTAATTTACAGTAGAACAAATACGACTTCATGTTCATTAATATTGTTTCATTTCATGAAAAATGAAAGACAAGGAGTAATGTTTTTATCCTTTTTTAAAAAAATCTTATAATCTCATTACAAGAGTGTTGCAAAATATTTTAAACAAAAGAAAATTACCCAATGTATGGAATAAGTATGTTCAAAAAATTTTAAAGGATTTTAGTAATCAAAATTACATCGCTCTGATATGTTCACCAGTGCTTGTAAGATGTGTAGTCCATAATACTTTTCACGAGTCTTTTTTTATCTTCTTCAAAAATAAGTTTATTTCTGTAGTTTGATGTCTTTAGTTAAGAATATGTTCATCCATCTTACCTTAAAGCCATGTCATTTTATTCCCTTTATTTTATTGCAAAATTCAAGACTGATAGTTTTCAATAAAAGCAAAACTGTCTACTAGGCTTAGAGTTTCTAAGCTATCAAGGGAATTAAGGCATTCTGTTAATGGAAGGGTGGTTGGGAAAGAACCTCATCAAGGAAACAAAACAATAATGCTTTAAATGGCATTCTCTTTAGGATTAAATATCACATACTAATCTTCGGTACAATAGTATAGATCAGGATGAGATTAAACTCTGACAGTTCATAGTCTTCCACACTCAAGGAGTTAAACATACATATCAGTCAATTGATAAACACTATGTCTTTAGCTAGATGACACTGTTTTAGCAAAAGCCTGTAGAGTCCTTTATGTATTAAATTCAGCCTTCCTTTTTCAGTTGATATTTGTGTATGTGTGTGTGTATGACTGGAGAGGTTGGAAGAGGAGGGGAAAGGCCCATCCAGGGACTGAAGCTCAGATTTGAATGTATTATCTTAGAATGTGAAAAAAGAAATTTTTTTAATTAAAAAAAAGTTCACCACACTACATAAGCCTACAATCTTCTGAGTCAGTGGCAACTGAGAAAATAAAAAGGAACATAATTAGGAATTTCTGGGAATATTGGTAAAACTTCCTTAAATTTCAAAGCATTCTGGTGCATCTAGACACATATTTAGAAAACCTTTAAGTAAATAACAGCACATATATATGAGTATGTATAGATGATTGTGTGTACATGTATTTTCTTGTGTTGAAAGCTGTTTGACTTATATAATCCATATTGTACATGTATGTTTGTGTCTATACCAACACATATGCACACACACATGCTTTTGCTTGCTTACCTATATGTAGCACTATCAACGAAAAAATAAGTGTCAGGAAAAAAGCTAAGAAAAGCATCTCATTTTCAGTGTTTCTCAAAGAGCTGAAGACAGATGAAAGAGAAAACAGCCTGTCACTGTCATTAAGAATGAAAGACAAATACTGTATGCTTTCACTCATGCTAAAGATAAAGAAACAAAGTAAAGGAACATACTAAACAAAAGAAAAACACAAAGACTCAGAGACCTGATTGGTGGTTACATAGAAGGGAGTTAGGAGGTGAAAAAAAAAACAGGCATGGGGGTCAATGACACAAGGAAAATGAAGGATTCTTTTTTCTTTTTTAAATTGAAGTAGCATAGATTGATAAGATTATATGTTTTAAGTGCACAGCATTATACTACTGCCAAAAGTCTCTTCCCAGATTCAGAAACCTTGGATCACTACCCCTGGAATTAATCGCACTCGCCTAGAGGACTATCTCTAGGAAACCCTGGCCTCTCCACCTCGTTCTTCCCCTGTTCTTCCCTTGGTTTGGCTCATCTCAGGCCAGAGGCTCGAAGAAGCTATCGCCCTTTTCTCGAGGTCTCCATGCTGGGATGGAGTGGCATTTATGGAATAGGATTGGTTGTTTCCTATGTCATTTGATTGAATCTCTATATTTAATAATCATAAGGAGAGTATTTAAGCTCGTCTTGTCTTTCTTGTTACCATTAACTACTAAATGTGGCCTTCTTACACAAATCATGGTGCCAGACTCCCAACACAGCGTGTGCTCAATCCTAACAGCAGCCCATGAACTCCCAGGCTCAGAGGGCTCCTGGCCCTCCCTCCTGCTGGCTTCTTGTGGAACTCTGCTCATCACAGAGTTCCTCAGCCCCCTCCTGCCATAGTCCTTTTGAGGAAAGTGTTTGCGCATCTGTGGCAAATGTGCACAATGATAGAATATATTAAAATAAATTTGATGCATAATGGAGGAAACTAGGGATTTCAAAATACTTAAATTTGAAGGGTTTTTTTTTCCAACTCCTAAAACCCACTTCCCATTTATTGCACACACACTCCACTCCGAAGACCAGAAAGTTTAAGAGACCACCCCACACCATACCACAAGTTAGTGAGAAAGGCATGACTAGAACTCAGTCCTCTTGGTGCTTCCTCTGATTCTCTCCCATTTCTCCATGAAATCACACCAAATTCTGTCAAGATACCTTAGAAAATCTAAGCTAGATTCCAGTGTTACCTGAGATGGCAAGAGCATAGTAAAAACAGTGACATTTAATTGATTTTTAAAGTATACTCTTGGTTCCTGTTTTTATTCTTTCTCTTTCAATCTTAATCTCACCTAGACAGTTTTATCTTTTCTTGTGGAAAAATTAGCACCTGCCTTAAACTTTGCAACCTGTTTTGCCTCACAAGGACCCATCCTAGGGAGGAGACTGGAGGTCTCCCTAGTCACTTTTGCTACACTTTGGAAATAAAATTTAGAATGTTATATACAGTGTTATATATGTTATATATACAATCTTTGTAAATTAATAACTTAAATGGACACAATGACTGTGATCGCAGAATTCACTAACTTAGAAAATGACAGTATTGTTGTAACAGGTACAGCACATGTACTCTCTTTCCCTGGAACTGACATGACAAAATGTCACATAATAATAACAACCTTTGTTATCCAGAATGAAATAGATAAGCATTTGAAGCCAACTTGGTGAAAAGTGAGCCACATCTGAGAAGGTTTTGGGAGATAATATAAATGTCAGACCTCTAGAGAACAGGTTTATTGTGCTCATCTAGTAAGTATTATTCTTCAGTGTCTCCAGTGCCGTGGATACCTGATATGGACATGGAGAGAAAGCAATTGATTTGTTTTCTCACTAGGCTGCCATGTGCACTAAGGTACAGATTCCTAGCGCTTGCGGCAAAAATAGAGATCTTGTTCAATTTAATCTGTATTGATGCTCTAACTCCTTGCCTCTGGTAGCTGACTTGTTGGGAGAATATTTAGCAAGGGACAATCCCAACAACCTTCCTTACTTAGAGTTGAATCTTTGCATGCCATTATAGGGTGCCCATCACTGACACATTGACCCGGGGAAAAAAACCATTGAATCAAATACTCCCAGATTGAATCCTGAGTTCCAAAAGGGTCAAGCTGCCTCTCATTCATAAAAAGTCTTTAAATCTCTTTGCACATTATGGTGGAAGTGGTAAGGGGCAGACTTGATATGTTCATATCTAAGTAGAGGGCCCTTGGCGAATACCAGCCTAGATAGTGCTGGAAATCGTTAGTTGAAATGTGGTCATTCATATAGTCATAAGGTCAACTTGCAGTATATGTATGTATGTGCTTGACCAATTTACATTACAAATCACCATAATTTGTAAAGTCTTGAAAATATTAAGCAGTCATTCAATTTAGGCTTTATCAATGTATCAGTTACATACACAAATACATGATATTAGCAGACTATCTTAGAATGGCATACTGTACTGCATCTGAAACTTTGGGGAAGGTCAGGATGTCAACATTGATATCGAGTGACTGGCAACACAGCTTGTAATCATAGTTTATCGTGCCCTCACTAACAGCCACACTTTACCAGCACACCTGTGTCAACACCACTCAGAATGAGTCACTCACCCTGGGTACATGTACGAATTACCTTTCACATTTAGTTTGTCAAAGAGGCATAGGTCACATCTGGCAGAGTTACTGAGTCACTAGTGTAGGAACCTGAAACCCAAACTCCCTCCACTGAATTCCCTCTCTCTCCTTTGTAAATGTTCTATTTCGTCAATAAAGGGCTGTCAACCTCAAGATTTAAAGATTTAAGCTTGAAGGGGCTATAATTATTTCTCTAGGGCTCTGTCAAAATTTCTGTAACTTACTCATTTCACTGTTCCCACATGATTTTATATTTGTCATTTTTTTCTCTGCCACAGCAGAAGTTTTTAAATTGCTCCACACAAATAAAAAACATTTCATTTCATTGTGAAAAACACAATAAATCTGAACTTGATTTTACAGACCTATCACTGCTCTGAGAAGACTGGGTAATAAGTGATTAGGACAATGGCTAGAATGGGCTTTAATTAAGGTGTTACATCTTCTCTGCCCAGGTCGCTTATTAATGAAATTGTTTAGATAATAGTTTTACTTTGCTCCTTTTTCTCTTTTACTCACAGGTCCTGAATGTTCCCAGAATTACACGACACCTACTGGGGTAATAAAGTCCCCTGGATTCCCAGAAAAATATCCCAACAGCCTTGAGTGCACTTATATTATCTTTGCTCCGAAGATGTCAGAGATTATCCTGGAATTCGAAAGCTTTGACCTGGAGACTGACTCAAACCCTCCAGGGGGGATGCTCTGTCGGTATGACCGACTGGAAATCTGGGATGGATTCCCTGATGGTAAGGAGGACTGAAACCACCCCCAAAAGGGAAAGACCTGGGAGGAGGGCAGTGGGGTTCTTTTACAAGTGTCATAATACAAGTACCACTTCAAAACATAATTCAAAAAGTGGAAAGAAAACAAAACATAATGGTAATTCTTTGTGAACTGGTGATACATATTTGAACAAAAAAAAAAAAAGAAAACATACTAATTATCTAGGTCTATCCCTTCATTTTAGAGATAGGGAAAATGATGCCATGAAAGATTATGCTAAGCCTCATAACTATTTTTGTGATAGAGTTTGGGCCAATGCACAGTCTTCCTAACTAAAGTATTTTGCTCATTTCATTAATTAGTTCTTTGATGGTCAGAGATCAATTATTCATTTTGCAAAAACAGACTAAAACCCAGAAAGATTAAGTACCTGATAAAATTTTAAGGATGAAATATGCATTCATTTTGCTACTGAAAATTTAGAAATTTTGAAAAAAGAATAAAAATGTTTGAGGCCATTCTTAACTTAGACAAAGTCTTTATCTTCTCTTTAGGGAATTTTTATCTTTAGCAATTTGAATCTCCTCAATACATCTTTTCTATGCATTGGTCTTATCATCACGTCTTTCTAAAACATGTATCGCGTACCTGTCATGCAGGCACTCTGATAACCAGTTGGTAAACAAAACACCCCAAAATGACTGTCCTTGTAAAGTTTAGATTCTGCTGGGGTAAAAGGCCACCAGTAATGTTCATTACAAGTAAATTAAGTATGTGCATGGTTTTTAGAATATGAGAAGTTCTATAAACAAACAAAAAAAAAGGTGGGGGGGGGAAGAAAAGTAGAACAAAGACATGAGAAGCATGAATGGCTAGGATTGAAAGATGTGTTAGTGAAATTTGAAATAGGATGGTCAAATTAGTCTTACTATTAAGAGAGTGACAGTTGAGAGGAGCAGGGCAGGTAGCCCTGTGGACCCTAACTGAATGTTTTCCATTTAAATCCCTATGCATTAGAATGCAAATGGCAAAAATACACACCCAAGTTCTGAGCAGAGGGAGATAATATCAAATAATTTGTTGCAGCTGCATTGCTTGTCTTATGTTTAGTCTGGTCTAATATTGAGATTTCTCTAGAGAACACACTCTACACACAGCAGAAAGGGCAGCTTAAAAGCTGTTGCAAATCATGCAGCTAGAGATATATACCATCTTTAAAATAGAGTCAGATAGTATTATCAAGTTACAGGAAAGAATATTTAAATAAATTGTAAATAAGGAGAAAGTATAATGTGAAATAGATTAGCGTTGCCTTTGAAATGACATTAAAATTATCAGTGTAACTAAATTTAGATAATGTTCTTCAACAGTAAAGTGTGTTCAGAAAAACTGGGTTGACAGAAAGCTTATATTGGCATTGAAGTAATGGTGAGCTAACATTAATTTTGTTTCTTTGCTTTTTTACTGTGTAAGTAGGGTTATAAAGATCTTATCAAAATTCCTTCATTAGATAATAAGATTTGTCCAAACAGAGTACTAATTGAGTTCCAAATAGTCAATCTGATAATTAGGAAAACAATATTAAAATAGTTTTGTGATGATGATTAGAACATTTAATAATGGGGTTATTTGTTCACAGCCCAAATTTGCTGTTTTCCTTTCTAGAACTTACATTTAAATTGTCATCTGAAAAGGAGGCCCAATCAGCCAACTTATTTAGAATACTTCTAGAAAGAAACACATTATTATTAGTGTCAAGGGTTTTCAAAGTAGTAATTTTCTGGCTCTAGAAAATAACTGAGTCAAAGAGAGGAACAATTAACAATAAGAGTTATTAGCCTTGCAATTTACCCATGTTTCAACTATCGTGTATTTAGATTTCTCAGAGAAAACTGACTTTGGAATATGATATATGTGTTAATATATTTGCTAATACTTACCTGACCTTACAAACTCACATCCAGCCTACCCCTCCCAGCAGCTCTCTTTAATTTAGCCTAAAAGAGAGTTTGTGTGGCCCGGAGTCTTTGTCAGTAACACTAGAAATATTTATGTCACCATAATTTAATGCATACAGTTCCTCTGCCAGCAAAATAGTGTCAGTTTTATATATCCTTTCAGAAACAACAACCAGAGCTGCTGAAACATCAAGTGATTTTATTTTGCATTTTATCATAAATGTTGCATAAGATGACCACGTAGTTAAAAGTTATCCATTAATGCATACCGATTTTGAAGAAAAGAGATTTACTCCAAAAGACAAAATCCAAAGCATGCACATTGTGAATTACATGTCTCTCTCACTCTCTTTGAAGTTCTATGAATTTACAAGTGGCAAGTATGAAGTAATTGGTAGAAGTTTACATCTTTTTGAAACCCATAAGCTAAGCCCCATTGCCCTGAGTGATGCCACAAGTGCTTGTGTTGAATTGTGAACTCAAAGCTTATACCACATGGGTATAGATGAAGTTAGTCCTCCCTTTAGTTTGGGGGAAAGAGCTGGAACTGCAGTTGTTAATCTACATTCCAAAAAGTATTGACCATTTTAGGAACAAAGTTCATAAAAGGTTGAGTTCTGTTGTTTTTTTATATTTACTTTTATATTAAAATTAACCTTCTAAAATAAAAGACAAAATATAAATGGTGTAATATATAATATAAACATTCCAGTCTATAAGTGATATAAATGTGCACATTTTTTCTGGGGAAACATTGCAAAGCCCAGATATTCCCCATCAAGGGGTGTACTTTTGTAAGGAACATATCCATGGCCTAGCATGGATATCATGGGTCTTTTTAAAACAATTCCCTTTTGTTTATTTACTCAAAATACCTCACTTTCAATGTACTCCTTTATAGCACATCTTTGTATATATTGCACATAAAAAGGGCAGCAGAAAGTCAAATTGTCTTATTCTGAAACAGGGTGGCAGTTACTGGCGAGATTAATGGAAAAGTACAAAGAATGCGCTATTGCCATTCCCAGGTATAGGTGTTTTAAACTGCACTGGTCTGTGTTCCCTTCCCACCGGAGGGCTATACTCACTGGAGGACTGGGCTTTCCCGGGAGATAACTTAGGACATATTGCTTGATTAAATTCTTCAATAATCCAATTTTGGAATTTTCCTTTGTTCTGTGACAGTTTTCATTCATCTCCTTGGCCTCTGGGTCCTCAAAAATGGAAGTAGGAAGTCCAATAGCCGCATTCATGTAAATACACAAACAAGCATACGCGAGACGGTGGGAGGACTTCATCGCTCCTGTTCGGATCAATATTGCATTAGCTTGCTAGGCTAACGTCTCACTGTTGTCCAGGAAAATTCAATACTTCTTTGTGTTACAGCCGAGAAAGCCTTTCACTCTCATATCTTGAGGGTTTCTAAAGAGAATTGCTCGTCGCTGTCCGGGGGCAATGTTCTAAAGGACAGAAAGCAGATTTACCCAGCATGTCTTAAACATTATAAACCAGTGAGTCATGGGGACTTTCTAAATTATCAGTCTGCATTAGACAAGTTCTCTTCTGTTTGCTCTTTGAAAGAGACTTCCCTTCCCCCTCCCCGAAGAAATGGGCCCTCAGAGGCGAGGATCAGCAGTAAAAGGAGCGAAGGTTCCCTTGTGCATCTTGGTAGTAAGGTCTGTGGTGTGCTGGTCCGCGAAACTCCCTAAGGATTAGGGCTGTAAACGTTTGCCCACAGACTAAAGAAAAAGAAAGTTAAGAAGCCATAATAATTGAATTCAAATGAGGGAAAAGACTGAGGAAGTATGAATGGATTCTAATTATGTTTGAAGAACAGAAATGGGATTCTTTTTCAGAAAAAGAAAAACATGAGTTTATGATTCTAGCAGGATATTTTCATGCATAAGTAAGGCAAATTTGCACTTCCATAAGAAAGAAAAAAGTGTTAAATCCACGTAGTGCCACATTTAGAAAGAAGAAAATCTGGCAAGGAACTAGCACTTGTGGAAGATTGTAAGGACAGGATTAAAGCTGAAGAAAAACTAAAGCAGTAAAAGTTTCATCTTCTGAGATGCTTTCTTCAACCAAAGTGGGAATCCTAACAAAAACATTTTGCTCTCATAATTCAGAGCCAGTGGCGGTGACCAGGCAACACCTATAGATAATCTGCATCATTTCCCATAAATCGGTCACTCTTTTTTTTTCTTTTCTTTTAAATAAAACTAACTATACACACAAAATGTTTGGCTTTAGGAAAAGAAATAATTTTGAATTCAGTCAAATCAATTATTTTAACACAGAGAGAGATGATCTGATATTCAAAGTAATCATTTTGCACTAACTTAAATATGTAAGCCAGTTTGGTTTAGTTTTTATTGTTGTCACTTCTTAAAAGGATTGGCTATGAGCCGAAACCTATTAGCCAAAGATCTGAGCACTGTAAAGAGCAGTGTGTTCAAATTAACTGATTAGGGACTGAGCTGGCAACATGGGGCTCCAGAGAGATCAGGGAGTTCTTGTGGGGTTCACATCCTCAATGGGTCTGGAAAGCTTCTCCTACCCCTGCAACTGCCTTGTCTATCCGAGTTGCATGCGTAGGCTCTGGAATACCATGTCCCTCCTGAAGGCCCAACCCTCCAGGGAAAGGTCCCCCAACTGTGCTTCCTTGAACAAAGCAATAACTCTTAGTTGAAATGCACAGTACCATAGATTTCTTGGAGGGAAAAATGGGCCACACCAGATTGTCCTAAGCCCAAACCATCTGGTCCACTTTTACCATATGTGCATAAAAAAAAAATCTAGAGAAAGGGTTTTTTGTTGATCTGGACAGAAAAGTGAAAAGATTTTCCAAACTTAGGGGGTTTCTACCCTATTGTAAAGCAATGCAACTACCAATTGCTAAGGTTTGTCTAAAAGCACTCCACAAATGGATGACCAGTTTAAGCCAAATAGCAATTTCATGTCATCACAATTTAGTGTTCCCAATGGTTTGCAGCCTCAATACTATTTTTTTTCTTGGTGTGTATGGTCACATGGATGTTTTGGGCATCTTTTCACCACTGGACATAAGTGCAATGTTGTCTTCTTGTTTAGATTAGAACAAAGAAAACAGAAGTCAGAAAGACATGTTATCCTTTCATTTGATTACAACTTACTATAATATATAAATTATTGGTACCTATCATTTCTAACTTTTTTAGCTGTAAAACTTATTAGTCTTCAAATAATTTCCTGATTAGGATATAATCCATTGTTGTTTGTCCAAGTCTGTGATGTTGACCTATAGGACTCTAAAACTAGGCTCCTCCTTGCTGACACAAGAGTTGAAATCTCTCAGCACTAGGAAATTATTGGCAGCCACTGTAACACGAGTTCAATGCCCGGCCAGGGAGGTGACCCACATGGTATGGCAGACCTCTCCTGTGTCTCACCTGCTGCTCCCCTCAGCAGTATATTTCAGTATATCTTGCCAGTTCTGCTCCCCACTCTCTGTGGTGAATCCTCTCATTCCCACACCTCTGGCCTATACCCCAGTTCTTATATGCATAAATAAATAAATATTTAAAAATAAAGACTCCACAACTAATCAGTGGAATGAGGGAGTCAACCAGGGTTACTCTGTTTTGGGTCAAACTGCACTGGGTCCCAGAACAGAGGCCTTCTATAGAATCGCTTTAAGGTGATAAAGGTGAGGATAGGCAGCTACGAGAGGCATTAGTGTCACAGCCTTGCTGGAGTATTTCTATGCTGTGCTGTGCTGTGTACAATTTGGTTCTCCTGGAGAATGCCAAGGTGCCACTCGACTGCCCAAATCTCATTTTTTACAATTGGAGCAAGCATTTCAATTATGTTCCTGAAAACAATCCTGCTAAATGGGGAATATGGTTATGTCTGTTATTCCTCTTCTGAGTACACTCTAAAATTCTCTCCTAAACGCAGTCCAATATTTTCACTGCAAACAAATTAACCATGGTAGACTTGCTTTGGGTAAGAAAATACTCTGGGTTCTACTGGGGCCCATGTTTGCAAATGGTTATTCTTGCATGTGCTGTAGAAGAAAGCTATTTTAATGTTCTCTTCATTTCTCCCTTTCCAGTTGGCCCTCACATTGGGCGTTACTGTGGACAGAAAACACCAGGTCGAATCCGTTCCTCATCGGGCATTCTATCCATGTTTTTTTATACTGACAGTGCAGTAGCAAAAGAAGGCTTCTCAGCAAACTACAGTGTGTTGCAGGGCAGTGTCTCAGAAGGTCAGTACTTACTCCTCTTGCAAGCCCTGTTTATCCTCCTCACACACCTGTGACGAAAAGCAACTCTAAACTACTTTTTGAATTGGAGTGCCAACTGTTTTGTCTTTTAAATGGTTTTTATGAATGTCAGGAGGAAGAACTATTTAGTGTGCTTCCTTAATAAAATTTTGGATGAGAAAAATAACTAATTAAAATTGTGGGCAAATGTAGGAAAATACTTTAAAACTGTACCTTGAGACAATGAGATATGACCTGACCAGCTACCTACTACCTTTGATTGAGACTCATCAAGGGTTGAATGGGTTGAGACTCATGAAGCCCAGGCATCAGTCAAGCATGGAAGGGGAGGCCTGAGCAGTCTGTTGCCAGGGCAGTCACACAGGGCTGATGGTGCTTGATGGTTTGGTTTATAGAAGATCCTGCACAGAGCTTTTTTGTCTTTCTTTCTTGTGTGAATGGAAGTGCATATTCATATTAAAGAATCTCTTTTAATACTGTTCTACTTTTCCATAAGAGCAATATGTTTTTGTGTCTGAATAAAATACTGAATGAACCCAACCCTTCCTTAAAGCTTTTGTGCTCTCTACCTCTTTTAAGGACCCAAGAGGGGTAAGAGTGGAAGGGAAAATGAAACAATTATTAGTAAATTGCTTTTTATCAGTTTCACCTGCTGGGTTATAAGGTAGCATAGGGACAATTCAGGGGGTTTGCTTGGAAACCTCTCCTGCAGATAATCTAGTATCTTTTATACTGGTTCCTACTGGAAAACAAAAGACAACTTAAGTTTCAAAACCTCATTTGTACTTAATTAATTTGATTAATGTATGCATGCTATGCTTATCTATCTATCTATCTATATATATATATTTGATTATAAGTAACAAATCTAAACTTAAAAGTATAAAACAAATGAAAGATGGCTAGTTACATCATATCACCCTTCCATTATGATTGAAATTTCAGAAAGTGAGAAACTTTGGTTATTTGAGATTTTCTGTATCATTGAGAATCTTGTATTTAATCTTCAAAACATTTTTCATGTTATGCTTTGGATTCACATTTTTCCAAAAATAGATTATTTCCCAATGTCATATTTCATATCAATTTCATATTATTTCACTGAGTACATGAGGCTTAGTGTAATGCCTGTTTTCATGATTCATCCTCATCATTGTCAACATTATTATTTTTTGGCTATGAAAGTATAGTACCCACTGGGACTTTATGATACTGTACTTTGCTCCTCATGGATGTATTTGTAATTTAATAAAATAGGTCAATGATGTGAATAATCATGACCAAGCTAGGGGCAGAGGGCGTGAGAATGAAAGAATTAGGGAGCAACAGCCTGCATGCTAACTGCAAGAAATCTGAAAACTAATGGCATGGAGTACTGGCCATCAAGTGTGTGTTGTGTGTGGACATGGAGTCTGTTCCACCTTTATTAGATCCTGGAAGAAATAACTCTTTCATAAAATGTTATTTAAGTATAATTTTCTGTGTGTATTCTTGTAAGAACAAGCTACATATATATTTAAACTTGAAAATAAACCAAAATTTCCACAATTTTCTAATAGGTGTCTAATGGTATATCTGTCAACTGTGATCCATTGTAGAATAATCACAAAAGCCTTGCTGTTAAGAAATATTATCTTCAAAATGCATGTATTAATGCTGCATCCTAATAACATAGCTATGTTTTGCAAGACTGTGTGAATTCCAAAGTGAACTTTTTAGCCTACCAGATTGAAAAAAGAAATATGCACCTCAGGACCCTACATTTCGATGACTTTGGGCCATTTATTCCCCTTCAGATTTCAAGTGTATGGAAGCTCTGGGCATGGAATCAGGAGAAATCCATTCTGACCAAATCACAGTGTCTTCCCAGTATAGCACCAACTGGTCAGCAGAGCGCTCCCGTCTGAACTACCCTGAGAATGGGTGGACTCCCGGAGAAGATTCCTACAGAGAGTGGATACAGGTAGGTGGCAAGAGGCCTGGCACTTTTAGGCTTGAGGATTTTGGTCCTCTAGAAAGACTGGTGGGGAAAAAAAGCAGCACCTTAGTTCAAATGAGAAAAGGACAGTAGCACCGAGTAGTCACTGCAGAAGCATCATGTCACCCATGATCAGAGAAAAGCAGGCCCAGATGTCAGCCCAAAAATCCATTCTTCTCAGATATTTGTATAGGATAGGATTTGACAGACGTCTTTCTTCAGTGGCAGCTACAAAACCTGATTTTTTTCCTAACAACATATTTTCTACTTATATTCTTCCTACTTTCTCAAATTTTAATTTCTTTTGAAATATTTTATATTTGCATGAACTTTTTATACATGTTTGTATGTTCATGGGAAAAAAAGGGGAGAAAAAGGTTGAGGTTTATTTTTCCATATATAGGTCAATATTGCTTTTAGCCAAGAAACCGTTTGACTGAGGACATGAGTCCCAGTGGATTATGTATACACATACATGTATAAAATGCCCATATCTGTATATCCTTATTATGACATTTTTGTCTTCCTCTCTGTTCTGAAATTCCCATTCTTTGCCAAATTCTCCTCTCCTACCTCTCCTTCTCTCCCCCAGCTCATCTCCTGACTAATCCCTGGTACCAGTTTTGGTACCTAAACTTGCTCAACCTTTCCTTTGTCAAATGAAACATCCATTTCTCTGCATCTCTGTGGGTTAAACTGTGGGCAAATTATAGAGTTATTTGCCGAAGGATCCGGGCTTACTCTTCAAGAGAACAGGCAGAGCCTGGCTTGTATTCACTGCTAGATATATAAAAAGACTTAGTCCCAGAGAGAGTTTCTAAGCAAGGAGAAAAAAAAAGATGATTAATCTCCTACTTTCCACATCTATTGCTATTTCAGTCTTTTGAGTACAAATACCAGATTTTGTTTTACTTTGGGAAGGTCAATATTAGTTTAACATACACTTAAAGTGAAATGTTCTATTACAGAAGAATGAACTCATGCTAACCTCTGAATGATAACACTGAGAAATGTATTAAAGGGTGAGAAAAGATGAAACTTTTACTTGAGATTGCTGAATGCAACTCTAGATTAAGAAACGAAATGAATTTGCCTGTGTCAGAATTGCTCTTGCTAACTTGTTTTTGTCCATTCCCAAACCAACAAGCTGTTCAGTGTGATTGACAGGTGTGCCTCGAGAGGAAAGCTTACATTTTGCAGTGCTCAGCATATTTGCCTACTAATATAGTCCTAATATAGCCTGGTAATGCAGTGAGCACTCAGTAATTTAGGGACGTGGGTCTTGCAAGAGTTCTGAGACTGCAACTGCAGCGTTTTTGCTATGCAAGTCAATTCTATGTCTGTAAAAACGTGGAGACAGATGGTCCAGTTCTTTCTATCAAAGCACAGCCAAGTACCTGAAAGCCCCAAACAGGAAGACTGAGTGCGAGCTACCCTCTCTGTCTGGTTGGTAAGGGTCTGCTGCACATCTTCTCACACTAAGACCACAATCTGAAATATTGCGAGCAGGGAGGCACAATATGGCATATAGAAATAAATACTTGGTGAATTGCAGGGTTGAACATGTGGCATTCATAGGATAGTTACCATTTATCGAGCACTTATTATGTGGCCTGACCTCTGCTGAGTAGTTGGCATATCTTCATTCAATCCTTACAGTAATTCTGTGAGGGAGATACAGTTATCCTTATTTCTGGAAAATGAGGACACTGGTTCGGAGAGACTAGTGACTGCACAGGTCACATTTTAGTGACCGGGCATGGAAGCCAGGTCTAGCAGACTTTAGCAACTGCTTCTTTACTGTGTGCCCTGGTTATCATTCTTCACCAGGCATACAAATTCAGGGGTATCATTCATTTCCTTTCATGTTTTTCCTAGTGCCATGAGAAGTCCCATTGAGGTGAGCTGAGTGCCTACTGGTTCCGCACCTAAAACGCAGGCTCCTTGTCCTTTCCATACCTCTTAAGGGAATAGTCAGAGAGACTTTGCATCTGTTCACCCTAAAATTATCTTTTTCTCCTCTGGGAGTTCAGTAAACTCATTTATATGCTTGTTATAGCTGTGTACGTGGTGGGAGATTTTATCGTCCACCATCACTTAATTATGAATTATTTCATGTTTCCTGATTTTCTGAAACTCCTTGGAAGTACTTAGCTTGTTGTCATTGGATAGATGTTTTATAAATTAACCAACAAGTACAGCATAATTGAGAATGAGGACAAGAGGCACGTACCTCTAATCACAGGATCATCAGCACTCGTAAGTTTCTATTTATGTGTGCATCAGTATACAAATGGCATTTGTTTGCTTTTCACTTTTTTCATATTTTGCATGAAATATAACCCACAAAACATGTTGCTGCAGCAACAAGGCCAAACACTTGCATGTGTTAAATTAATAAGGCAATATTGGAAACTGACTTTCCTTCAAGAAGGGAACAGTCCTTGGTTCCCATTGTTTTCTCTAGGAAATTACTGTGTGACATGAAAAACAATGCATCGTTAAGTATCGATATGCCTGTTCCTCATTGGTGCTTCCTGTGAGAAGTGCTGCCTGCCAGAAAAGCTTAAAAACAATTCAAGAGGGAGTTTAGTGACAAGGAGCATGAAAGGAAGTCCCAACTTGGAGGTTTGCATTGTCATATCCTGCTCCAAAGGCCACTTCATATCCTGAACCAATAACTCCCCTCATTCATCAATGACATAGTTCGTCCTACTATGACAGTTGCCCATCTTGTCCAGAGAATTTCATCCCATTCTGTGTCATACAGCTGTTTGCGTTATTACTAATTTAATGTCTTTCTTGTTTTATTCCTAGTTTAATGGTCAAGAATTCAAAGTAAAGATTCAGTAGATCCGTGGTCTATAACAGCTTCTAATTTTAAGTCTTAGTGTTAGAGTCCAAGACATTAACGTCATTGAAACTGAGTTTCTTACCCTATAAAATAAAGTGGAAATAAAATTAAAGATTTCTCTATGCAAAACTTAGCTGTCTATGATACAATGAAACTCTGAAAATGTTTTCATTTCAGCAAATCAAGTGCATAATTTCATTGTCTGTTTAGGAGATACTTTCTCATAGATCCTACGTTTAGCCATTCACACACAAAGCAGAATTTAATTTGTTAATTATTTCAATGTTTTATTAATGATAGTGTTCACCATACTGTAAACAGATTTATCCTTCCAGCTTTAATTAAAGCTCTTGGGAGAGCTTTCCTCAAAACAACTGTGACTTTCCCTGATTAAAATGCCAAGAGACAATGGAAAGGAAAAAAGCAGGAGACATCACTCCTAGATGGGATATGAACTTTGTTAATCTGAAAAAATAAAAATGGCACTAGGGAATAATTGATTACCACACACTTCAGTGGCTTTAGAAATAGATTTACTTGACAAATCAACTTGAGTAGAAACTGTACTCTTGTCCAAATTTTGGAGAAAAGTCTTTTGTGGGGGGAAAAAAAAACAAAACGTAGTACTGGATTATTTATGCCTTCACTGGCTTCAGAGCAGCAGAAAGCAGTTGCCTTCTAAACCAAACATCCTGTTTGGTTTGGTAAATCAGCCCCATTATGGGTTAGAAGAAGGAAACCTCCAGAAAGACTTTCTGTAGCTGTAAGAATACATCATCAAGGGCCCTCCCTGGTGGCGCAGCCGGTTAAAGCACAGCACAAAGAAGCTTAAGCCACTTCCACATGAGTTCGATCCCCACCTGCCCCAGAGGTGACCACATGGCGTGGCAGACCTCTCCTTACCCGCCCGCTGCTCCCCTCAGCAGTGTACTTCGTCGATCTGCCTGTTCTGCTCCCCACTCTGTCCCTGGTGAAGCCTTTCACCCTCCGGATCTCTGGCCTGTACCCCAGTTCTGTACGAATAAATAAATAATCTTAAAAAAAAAAAAAAAGAATACATCTACATTGACCAGTACAGACTTTTATTCTGAGGTATCAGGGAAAGAAAGTTCCTGAAGGGAGAAGCAACCTTCTGAGGAAACTTTTTAGTATGTTTTCCTTTTGCCTTATATATATTTCTCTAGAATTAAAGTCCTTCACATTTTTCTAACTGGAATAATTTAAGAGCAGACATCAGCAACTAAAAGCCTTAATATACTGAGGAGGTGGGCTGAACTAAATCAAAACACACCCACGACAACACACACTGGTATGTTCTCACACCAGCATCGTGTAAAAGAAAGTGAGGGTCTCTGTTCAAATTCAGCACATAAAACTGGTCAGATCCAAGAGGCCTTAAGGTTGCTCTGGATTTCATGTGAATCATGAAATGTATTCTAACAGCAAAGCCCTGTGCTCCTATATAACATTTCTGCTTTCAAAAGAGGAAATCAAGTTTCTACCCCCCAAGGTCGAGGCAGTCTTTTGAGGTTTATTTACTCATAAGCAAACCCCACATCTATGCATAGCTCTAAATTTTTGCTACCAGCAATTTCTAAAGTGGCTCTGTCATGATTGAGAAATTGAATTATCAGTTATAACTAATTGAGAATGAGAACAAAAGAAAACGTAAAGGCATGAACCTGACCTGGAGCTGATAAGAGTCTAGTTGGAAGTTCTTTAAGTATCAAATGGAATGCAAGGATGAATTCATGGAATTATTTTAGTCTTAGGAAATTAGTCAACTAAACTAAAGACTTTGATCCACAATTTCATGAAATACTTTTTTTTTTTTTAGTAAAGTTGCTAGTTTCTAACAGGTTTTTAATTTGTAATGATGTGTTCAAAATGCATGTGCCAAATCAACACATCCAGAGCATATATTGAACCAGGTTATCCTAATTGTAAAATCTCTGTGTTAATGCAGCTGACACTCTGAGGGTGCATTATCTCATTCAGATCATTTGTAAATTGCTGATAGTGCAATAAAATATTTTTATACTGCAATGTGAAGTTGCAATAAAATGATATGATGTGTAACTAGAAAACTTATGAATATAGTTCACTGTGTTACCTAAATGTGGAAGGATGC